CCCACCCCGACCTGGCGGACCCCTAGGGCCCTTCCCTCACACCATTATCGCTCAGCTTGGGTTTTGGGAAGGCTGACCTTGCAGGGTGAGCTCTGGGCACGCCTCCTTGCCTTCACAATGGCTGATCCGTTAGCTACAAAACCTTGCCAGGTTGGCCAGGTGAAACTGCAGGTGTTTAAGGACTCCGCCTCAAGTGTCACCTCTCCCCTACAGCCCTCCCTGACCAGGAGGGAACAAAACAGCTTCCTTCTTTCTGCTTTGATTTCTACTATTGTCCATACCATTTTGTATCACACTGATTTGCTTACAGGTTGGCCAACCACAAGTCATTGAGATCGCAAGCGCTGGGGACAGGGCTTCATTTGTTCTCTGTGTGCAGCCCACTGGGCCTCAAGTGGAGGAGGATGGGAGTGGTTGGGGCACTAGGCTGAGGGGTCAAGATCAGCCCAGGATTGGGTAGGAGACCTCCGAGGGAGCGTCCGGCTAGTCAGCTGGAGAAGGCAGCAGATACAGGGAAGGCGTGAGGTGCCTGGAGGTGCTACAGGTGCCGTGTCAGATGCCATAGATGAGCAGGTGGCGAGGATGGGCTTCAGGAGGGGAATCAGCCTGCGTCACATGGGCAAGGATGTGAACCCTGCATGGGGCATGGTCCCAGGAAGGCTCTGTTGTCTACCTTCCCCAGGAGCACCCCATTCCATAGGCTATTATTGCAGGACACTCACAGTCACCTGTTGAGGGTCACCTCTCACTCACCAGCTGGGCAGTCACTGAGTGGCTGGAGGAGACCAGGAAGCTCTTTGCCTATGCAAATGAGCCCCTGGCTTCCCTGGACCTTTTGCCTTGGTGGCTCTGGCATTGTACACAGAGCCCCTTCCTCCAGGCAGGCAGGCAGGCAGGGCATGACTGGTAACCATTTCCCTTTTCTATTTTTTTTTAAAGATTAACTCATTTATTTATTTGCAAAGGAGCGAGAAATAGAAATACAGAGCGAGATCGTTTATTTATTGGTTCACTCCTCAAATGTCCACCATAGCTGGAGCTGGCCCAGGCCAAAGTCAGAAGCCAGGAAAACCTTTCGGGTCTCTCATAGGGTTGCAGGGGCCCAGGCATTTAGTCCATCTGCTGCTGCTTTCCCAGGGTGTCGGCAGGGAATCTGGTCAGACGTGGAGCAGGACCAGAACCAGCGCTCTGCACAGGATGTGGGTGTCCCACACAGCGACTTAGCCCAGGGTGCCATAATGCCTGCCCAACATTTCCCTGTCCCCGGTGCTCTCTGCCTCTCAAAGTGTCTTTCTACACAGGTCCCTCTAGTGGCTCTGACATCGCGGAGAGCTGGAGCCCTTGTGCTCCTGTCACAGCACCCCTTCCCCGGTGCTGCCCCAGCAGCCTCTTCTGCCTGAGAGTAAAAATAACAGAGGGGCAGTGGTGTGGTGACAGCAGGTGGCATTGCTGGGCTGGAAACGTGGTCCTGTGGTCAGGTGGAGAGATGAGGTTGTCCTGTCCCAGAACTCCAGCTACAAGAGGTGACTTCCCAAGGTGACCTCCGAGGTCCCCGCGCCTCGAGCCAGGACCTGGACCTACTGGTGCGCACCTGATACTATTGGCTCTGAGGGTCCCGACAGCTTGTTCCTGCCAGGGGGCCCGAGCCCTGGCTGCCCTTTGGGAACTTCCCAGGATGGGGAAACCGCTTAGTGGCTGCTTCCAGGGAGCGAAGTGATACTCCCACCCCCATTCTATTCAGAAAGTATTGGGAGTGTTCTCTTCCTGGTGTCCCAGGTCACCACTGACCAGCAGTGGGTCCCAAGGCCAGGCCAGCCCCTGTTAGAAAGCCAGGGCTCCGGAAACTGGCAGGCCTGGGCTCCATGTTCTTGGCTCCGCCACTCACTAGCTATGTGGTTTTGAGTGACTGACTGAATCTCTTCGAGCCTCAGTTTTCCCAACATGAAAGATGGACCTTCTGTGTTCTGAAGTTTCTGCCTCATTGTTGTCTCCACATTTCCCTTTCCTCCAATCCTTTAATCTTCCCAAAGCCCTCAAGCCCTCAGTTCTTCCAACAGTCCTTCACAGCCGACAGGATGTGGCCTAAACTGCTTATCAGGCACTAGAAGTGTTTATTCCACAAATATTTATTGCAAGTGTGCACTGGGCCAGACTTGTATTAGGTCCCAAGAACTCAAAGGTCTTGGTGCTGTAGCTTAAAGGTGAGAGGAGTCAGACGACGGTGGTGACTCAGGTGAAATATCTGCAGGCTGGGACGAAGGGTATTCAAGAGCAAGATCCAGTTATGAGACTTTACAGTCACCTGGGAGGGCTTCTTTGAGGAAGGAGGTATTTAAAGGGCCAGAAGAGGGAATCGGGTCAACCAGCAATGGTGAAGAACTGGATGAAACACCCTGAGGCAAGGCTCCGGGGCTGGGCGGGTCACACAGCCATGGGGAAAGTGGCCAAGGGGGTGCCTGCTGAGCAGGGCCAGAGCTTTGGGGTCTGCGCCTTGGCCCTCTCAAGGCTCTGAAGCAGAGAATCCACTGGGAGAAGCACCTGCTGGGACGCCAGGTGGAAGGCATCACCCTAGACAGAGGGAGACAAGAGAAGAAGGGTGTTCCTCTGCTAGAGCCCAGCCAGGCTGGGGTGAAAGGCAGCAGGAGGGTCAAGGTGTGCCCAGGAGAAGCACCTGTGGTGAGGTGAGGGGTGAGGAGGAGGCTTCCTGTTCCCGCTGGTGCAGTGGAGGGGGGCTGGTGCCAATCCCAGGACGCTGGTGACACAGCAGGTCACGATGACCCGGATTGCAGGCATCGAAAGGGGAGTCCCAGGCCTCTGGCCCCCTGCACAGTCTGGGTGTTTGGTGTCCCCACCAGGTAGGAATATCAGGCCAGCACGTTTAAGGGGCTGTGGATGCCAAGCTGGGGACTCCTCCAGGGACCACAGGGATTGTGTCTGGCTCAGGCAGCAGTGGCCGATCCTTGTCCACAGCTCCATCTGTGTCTGCCAAGTCTGTCCCAAGGACACTATCCCTTCCTTCCCCACTCCCACCGCAGCGTGGGGGGCTCGCTGCGTCCACGTGTGGCTCTCCAGGGCAGAGGCGGGAGTCCTCCGCGGCTCCCCTTTCCTCTCTGGCCGAGGAAGGGGGCGTTTCCTCTGCGGTGTTTGCAATCACTCGGCAAGCTGGCTATGGCCCCTCTACCCACTATTCTGCAGTCTTGCGATGGCTGCCCCTCACTTTGAGGCTCTAATCTCTCCTTCCCCACTCCTCGCCACCCGACACCCCCTCCCCCCGCTCAGCCTTTATCTCCTAGTGGCCGCAGCCTCGGGCTGGTTTTGAGAGATGAGAACTAGACCAGGCTTTGTGCGGGGCTGTCAGAGAGCCTGGGACGGACGCGGCTTCTTTAAGAGCGACCCGCGAGAGGGCGTGGCTTGCGGGGAGCTGGCCCGAAAGGGGGTGCGGCTCCTTTAAGTAGCGGCCGGCGGCGCGCGGAGAGGCCCCGGGCCGGCGGGCAGGGGCGCGGTCGCTCTCCGGGCTGCGGCGCCGCCCCGAGCGCCTCAGTTCCTTGAAGCGGGGCGCGTCCGTCTTAATCGAGGTGCAGGCCGCGGGGGGCGGGCGTTGCATCAGCTACCACGTGGGGGCCTCTCAGCTGGCTTGCAGGCGGTGGCTCCGCCCCGGCCCCTGGCGTGGAAAAGTACCGGGGCGCCGGGTCCCCGCCCCCGGGGCCGGCCGGCCCGCGTCCGCCTCTCCCGGCTCACCCCCACCCACGCCTCCCACCCCGGGCAAGCCCCCTCCCGCCGGGCCCCGGCTCGGCTCCCCTCCGCCAGCCCCGCCCGGCCGCGGGTGCGGGGCGCCGGCCGAGGGTGGGCGCCCCGGGGCTGCCAGGCCCCTGCCCTCACCTGTGGCCACCCGGGCAAGCCCCCGGCGCGCGCCGAGGGAGGGTGGCGGATGGGGAAGACGCGGATCCTCCCCGAGGAACTCCCCGCTCGCAGTCCCTTCCCAAAGCAGCAGCCACGGGCGCCATGGACAAAAGAGGGGCCCACGGGTGCGGGACCCTCCCGCCCCAAATCCTAAGACCTGCGGGGCACCGGCACCGGCATGGGCACCGGGCGGGCTGGGAAGCCAGCGATCCGAAGGATCGAAGCAGTCAGGCCAGGCTGGCCGTGGGAGGCGATGGAGCGAGCGCCAGCGCTCGGGGCGCACAGCGCGCCTTCCGTGCCGGGCCCCAGCAAGCCCCCCACGCGCGGACCCCTGGCGCCCCGGACGCACCGCGACAGGCTCAGGTCACTGCGCCTGCCACGCACGTTCGCGCCCCCGCACCCGGCCGAGCGGGTATTGGCACGCCGCGTCCCCCCCAGCCGGGAATGCACCCCCTTCGCCGTCCCCGCCCGCTTCGGTGCCTTGGTGACAGAGGTGCCACCCAGACGCGCGCACCTACCCCGACCTTTGCGGCGAGACAGGCATCCCGGTGCGTGCGCCCACGCGGCTCCCGCAGATGCCCGCATGCATGCGCGATCGCTCACACCCGCGCGCGCGCGCTGCCCCGGGGCTCAGCCCCGCCGAAGGCGGCCGCATGCCCAGCCCGACGGCGGGAGCCTCGCAGGTCCGGCCCGCGGCACCCAGCCCCCGGCCCCTTACCATGCTGCAGCCCCCGGCCCAGGCGTGCCGGTCGGCGGCCACGGAGCGTCCAGGTGGCTTTCTTAAAGGGAAAGTTGCATCAGCCTGCCGAGGCCGGGTGCCACCGCGAATCCTCCCGCCCCGCCGCGCCGCTCGCTGCTGCTCCGCAGCTTGCTGTGTTTTGGTTTCGAGGAGGCGGGGGCTAGGAGTTTGGTGAAAGTTTGGAGTGTGGAGCAGGCTTGGGAGACCTAGCCAAGTCCCTCCCCCTCCCAGAACGGCTCCCCTGGCCGCCCTCACCGCTCCCCGGGTCTCTCCCCACCCCCCGCCCCGACAGCTCAGGCTCCTCCTCCCAGGGAATAAAATTACAAGTCGCTCCAGCTTTCAGATGATGGATCCCCGCGAACCCTTGGGAGTCGGGCTCCGCGAAAGAGTCCCCCTCCCCTCCCTTCTCTTCCCCTGCCTTGCTGCCCTCCAGCTGAGGCCCTTGGAGGAAGCAGATGTGGGCCCCTTCGGGCTCGGTTGGAGTGAAGCCAGAGGCCTGGGGGCGCTTCGGGGGGCTGGGGCTGGGGCTGCGGTTAGCCCGCCAGGCCCCTGGCCTTCTGCGCCTGCGTCCCCCCTAGAGAGAAGTCAGAGCAAATTCCATTCCCTTTGGAGCAGCGCCGCTAGAGGCTGTGGGCACAGCTGGGTAAGGCCTGGGTCCTACCCCCTGAAACTAGAGCGGTCGCCTGTGCTTTCTCCTGAAACCCTCCGTAGACCACTGGCTCGGTCGGCTGGGGGGCGGGGGTGGGGAACTCTTTGCTTCCCTAGTGGGCAGAGGGACCTGGGTTGTATCTCTTTGCTAAAGGAGCTGGGCTGTGAAAACCAGGGGCCGCACTAAGCAAACTTGTGTCTGCCAGCTTGCCTGTGCGGACCCCCTCGCTCCCCAGTGCCTCTAACCTGGGTGCAGGGCCTTTGCAGTGGGGTATCCACAGAAAGTCAGCTTACCTGGGGAGAGCCACCAGCTTCCAGAGGAGGGAGCTGGTTAGTACTGACAGTCAGTGGGGCACCTGCTCAGGGAAGGGGAGACAGGAAACTGCTTTGACGTTTTCTCCGGGGACACAGAAGCTGGTGAACGTATGCCAAGTGTGCACGAGTCGATTGACAAGTGAGATTCCACTTGATTAATTTACAATCTGAGGCGCTGGGTGAGATAACAGGTGTCAGTCCCAGGTGCTCCTGAGTTTCCTTGGGGCCCCACACGGTCCCTCCCTGGGCAGTCCCGAGGCCAGGGAAACACTGAGACGCCTCTTAGAACCTACACCCGCTTCACCCTGGAGACGGGCCAGTTCTGGGAAAACACGTATTTTCATTTTCATTTTTCTCCCAGAGAGACTGTGTTTGGGATTTACATTCACCTAGAGACCAACTACAGGTTACGGCCCTGCCTTTGTGAGGGCAGCCTGTTGCTCCTGGGTCCCTTGCTCTGTGCACTTGGGTAGGGGGACCTGCAAGAGGGATTCTGTACAAGGTGATGGCCTGTGTACTTGTGTGCGGCCAGGGGTTGGCACTGGGCAGAGGGCATCCCAGCCCTCCTGGTCTCTCCTGCCAGGACCTAACTTCCTCCATAAATTATTTTTGGTCTCTCCGTCCCTGCCTCCTCCCTCCAAGTGTCACAAAAGGCTGCCACCCAAGGGGAGGAGGGTCTGCAGCGCCAGCACTGGGGGTGGGCCTCCCAGGCCAGGCTGCTGAAGTCTCCAGTACACACACACACACACACACACACACACACACGCAAGCCGCCAGTGCTTGCATGTTCTGTTGGCTTCAGACATGCCGGGATGTCCGATCTCGGAGACCAAAGCCCGTGGGTGTGAGGTTTGTTCTAAATGTATACTCCTGTGCAAAGGTGAGGAACATACTGAGGTATGCACCAAAGATAAGCCTGCCGACACCCCTGAGCCAATCAAAAACCTCAAGTACCTCTTCAGAGGGGACAGAGATAAGGAAAACCTTTGCTTTCAGCATATCGAGGCGGCCACACTTGAGGACAAACATGTTTTTCACCCCCCACCTTTTCTGCTGATCCTCTCCGGAGGTTGCTTTGCTAGGAAGATACCGAATGAGCTCATCTAATGGAGGGTATCGAGGGGGTCATAGGAAGCTGACTGTTGCTTTGGGCAATTTGACTAACTTTTCAGGCCAGCTTCTACAGCAAGTACCCAAGTCTGTGGAAACTTTGTCTAAAAGTCACCGACAAGCACAAGCGGCAGGCTTTAGAATTTTTACTTAGAACAATGAAGAGCCTGTGCGCTAATGAATGGAATCTGCCACCTCTATTTCAACAGTAGCCTCTTCACAGAGAGGGACATTAAAAGTCCCTAGGGCCCGGCTCCATAGCATTGCGGCTAAAGTCCTCGTCTTGCACGCATTGGGATCCCATATGGGCACTGGTTCTAATCCTGGCGGCCCCACTTCCATCCCGCTCCCTGGTTGTGGCCTGGGAAAGCAGTCATGGATGACCAAAGCCTTGGGACCCTACACCCACGTGGGAGACCCGGAAGAAGCTCCTGGCTTCAGATCAGCTCAGTTCTGGCCATTGCGGTCACTAGGAAGATCTTCCTGTCTGTCTCTCCTCCTTTCTGTATATCTGACTTTCCAATAATAATAATAATAATAATAATAAAGTCTTCAAACTTCAAACTAGATGCCTTGGCAGTCTGTACAGGGGCAATGTGCCACTGCCTAGTATTTGGGAAATACAATCTTCCCTTTTTAAAGAGCACTCTACCTGCAAACAGTTTCTTCTCAGTTTTGCTTCTGCTGATGGATAAGCTTGTTTTGGAAGCCCCCAACATCTCAGAGTAATGAGGGTGGTGTGTGGATGTAGCCATTGGCCCTGATTGAAAATGCTCCGGTTTGTGAGAGGAATCCATTAGGTGAGACAGACATTTCTGAGCCTGGGACAGGCAAGCCCAATGCCCAGTAGGAAAGAAGTATCTGTGGATGTGATGAATCCGTGCCCTCCAGCAACCCTTAAGTGAAGGGTTGGAATGAAATGGGACAGGTGGGTACCTAGCTTAGGGTCACAAGTTAGAAGACTTGCTTCTCTCACTCTATGCAAATCCCATCCGAGCATCTATGAATCAAATGGCACACCTCCCCCAGTGTATCGGTCTCCTGACTGCAGGGGCGGTATCATTGTCCACTCTCCTTCCAGGTCCCTACGAAGGAGGCGTGATCTCTCTCTTCCTGCAGACACAGGATGGGAGGAAGAAACATTTCTTTCCCATTCTTCCTGTCAGGACCCACTCCATCCCTGAACATGGCCAAAGGGTCTGTGATCTCACCTTTTAAATAAGCTTCATTTAAAAAGGGGCGAAATAGGGGGGCTGGCACAATGGTTCAAGAGCTAAATCCTTGCCTTGCATGTGCCGGGATCCCATAACAGGTGCCAGCTTGTGTCCTGCTGCTCTCCTTCCCATCCAGCTCCCTGCTTGTGGCCTGGGAAAGCAGTAGAGGATGGTCCAAAGCCTGGGGACCCTGCACCTGTGTGGGAGACCTGGAGAAGAAACTCCTGGTTCCTGTGTTTGGAACGGCTAAATCCTGGCTGTTGTGGCCACCTGGGGAGTGAACCAGCAGATGGGAAGATCTTTAACTCTGTCTCTCCTTATCTCTGTACATGTGACTCTCCTATAAAAATAAATAAATCTTTAAAAATTTAAAAAGGGAGTAGGGAGGGCCTGCCAGCCTAGGCTGAGGACAAGGTGGAGTGGGAAAGCAGATTCCCCCTCACCCTCTTTACAATGGACCAGGCGTGAGAGAGACCTTGAAGGCAGTTCTAGGAGCATCCTAAGGAAGGCAGGGCATGGCCCATGGCTAGGGGGCTGCCCACCTATCCACCCAGCCATGGAAACTTTGTGCCTGGAGGCAGGTGTAGGATGCTGTGGGCTTGGCTAACCCTCTGAGGCTTTGCCAGTTAGAGAGGAAGTATGGGATTTCCCTGGGGCAGGCCTGTGGGTGGGAGGAGAGAAGACGGTCCCTTGGGCTACTTGGGGAAGTTGTGGGAGAGCATTGACCCTGTGGAATTTGCTAAGCTAACAATGACAGAGCACAAAGCACAGGTGAGTACCTGGAGCCGGAATTGCGGAAATGAGTACCTTACTCACCCTGGTCCAGTCAGTGTTCCAGGTGGCCACACGAGAGAGCCCACCGAGTCCTGGGGGACCCTTGTGAGAAACGCTCTGTCTGAAAACCTGTCTCCACGCTGCTGCGGAGGAACCCCAGCAGCTGGTGTTTTCCAAAGAAAATGAAGTCCCCAAAGAGGCAGGATTGAACCTAGCCCAGGTCAGAGCAGGGATGGTCTTTAACCTTCACCCCTCAGGGTGAACTCTGGCTCCCCAGGGAAGCTGGCTCACAGGGCAGGACGGGCGTAGCTAGCCCAGGCCACCATGGGGCCAACAGGAACTTAGGGATGGGATGGGAGGACGGAGGGGTCAGACATCCCTGCCTGCCTGCGTGGGGCAGGGTAACAGGAAGGCAGGCAGCCGGGTGGCCCCACCCCGCCTGGGCTAAGGCGTGTCTCAGGAGCCTCCAGTTACAGTTTCCTGGGAGGGCTGCATCCAGTGGCAGATCCCCTGTGCTAGCTGGGTTCCTCATTTGTCACCGGCAGCCAGCAGGATAAGATTTCTGTGCTAGGATGGCCATAATGAGCTTAGGTATGGTGTCTGATGAAAAAACAGGCACAATGCCAGACTTGGGCCACTTCTGGAGGGCACTGTGGGTGCTGGCAGCACCGGCCACCTTGATGGAGGGCGCTGGGAAGTTGGGGGAGGGTGCACTTGGCTTGGAGTTGGAGCCTGGCTGGTCTGGGGTCCCGCCCCCCTGGAGTCCCTGCCCCCTCCGGAGTCCCCGCCCCCTCCGGAGTCCCCGCCCCTGCAACCCTGAGCATTGTTGGGAGTGACCTGCTTAGAGGGGACTCTGTCTCTGTATTTTTATTTCTATAAAATGAGTAGATTTCATGTACTTCGTGATACAGATTTAGAAGCACAGGCGCTGCTCCCTCCCCACTCTTCCTTCTTCTCCCCACCTTATTTTTTCCTTCAAATTATTACAATGGCATGGTTTCCGTTCACTTCACAATCACAAGCTTAACCAACCAATCGGTAAAGATATTATGACATAGCAAATAGAGGAAAGAGAAAGTTGGAATTCCCACAGTTACTCATGAGTACAGACACAGGCTGCAAACAGTAATTAAATTCCAGGATGTTAATCTCACAGGGTTTTTGTTTGTTTCTTTTTCTTTTTCTTTTTTCTTTTTTTCTAGTGCTCTGTGTATTTGGTGTCATGGATAAGAAAGAACATACGATATTTGTCTTTTGGGGACTGGCTGCTTTCACTAATCATAATGTTTTTCAACTGGATCCATTTAGCTGCAAAGGACAAGACTTCATTCTTTTTTATGGTTGAGTATTATTTTATAGTGTTTGTGTACCACATTTTATTATGGGCATCTGGGTGAATTCACCATCTTAGCTATTTTTTTTTTAGATTATATTTTATTTTTATTGCAAAGTCAGATATACTGAGAAGAGGAGAGACCGAGAGGAAGATCTTCTGTCCGATGATTCACTCCCCAAGCAGCTGTAACGGCCGGTGCTGGGTCAGTCCAAAGCCAGGAACCAGGAATACCATCCAGGTCTCCCACGCAGGTGCAGGGCCTCAAGGCTTTGGGCCATCCTCGACTTTTTTCCCAGGCCACAGGCAGGGAGGGAGCTGGATGGGAAGCAGGGAAACTAGACCATGAACTGGTACCCATATGGGATCCTGGCGCATGCAAGCTGAGGACTTTAGCCGCTAAGCTGTCTTACCGGGTCCTATCTTAGCTATTATAAATTGTGCTGCTATAAACATAGAGGTGCAGATAATTCTATCAAATGCTGATTAAATTTCATTTGGATAACTTTCCAAGAGTCTATTGTCAGACATCTGAGGAATGTCCATCGTGTCTTCCATAATGGTACTAGCTTACATTCTCACCAAGAATTTAGGATTTCCTTTACATCCTCACCAGCATTTATGATATTCTGATTTCAGATAATAGATTTAGATCCTTGATCCATTTAGAGTTAATTTTTATGTAAGGTGTAAGGTGGGGTCTTGGTTCATGCTTTTGCACATGGACATCTGAAATCTTCCTAGCACCATTTGTTGAACAGACGCCTTGCTCCCTGGATTGTACACCAGTGGGAACTGCAGCTTAGTCAGATCGACCACTGATAACCTTCACTAGGTGCACCTCCAGTCCTGGTTCCCGTTCTTGCCAGTACGTACAGCACACTGGTCCAGTCTGTCCCACATCCCATTCAGTTCTTGTACATGCCAGTGGGCATTAAAACTTAGCTCAACTCATCCAACCCTACTATTCAGCTCAGACTCATGTTAGCAGGTGCCACCACTTACTCATTTAGCCATGTTCACACTAGACCTGGTTCTGTGCTCACCAGAGTTGCAGATTTTTGGGCCTGGTGCCTGAGGTCCTCACCTTGCATGTGTTGGGATCCTATGTGGGGGCTGGTTCTAATCCTGGTGGCCCCGCTTCCCATCCAGCTCTCTGGTTGTGACCTGGTAAAGCAGTCAAGGATGTTCCAAAGCCTTGGGAACCTGCATGGGAGACCCGGAAGAAGCTCTGGGTTCCTGGCTTTGAATTGGCTCATCTCTGGCCATTGTGGCCACTTGGGGAGTGAATCATCGGACAGAAGATTTTCCTCTCTGTCTCTCTTCCTCTCTGTAAAATCTGACTTTCCAATAAAGCCCTGCCTGACTTTTCAATAAAAAAATAAATAAATCTTAAAAAAAAACACAAAACCTTGCAGCTTTGCAGAGGGATGATCACAGTTTCCCTACAGGGCCCACTCCCTACCCTGAATCTTGCACTCTTCAGTCCTGCTTCTGCAGTCTAACCTGACAGGATTTGCTCTCAGTCCCAGTACTTGCTAGTTGTTACTGCGGCAAAGCCCAGTCAGCCTGCACCCGCTTTGGCTTATGCATGTACCAGTGGATACAGTTGGGTGCCCCAGCCTGGCTCTCCCCATAACTCAGCTAACATACAGACCAACAGGCCTTGTAGCCCTGCCGGCTTGGTCTGCTCCTGATCCCAGCTCTCACGCCAACCAATAGGAGCAGTGGCCTAGCAGGGGAGTCAGCGCAGTTCCCCTTGACAGGTTGGATTGTCCCCCCAGGTCTCACATATGCTGGTGGGTACCGAGGTTCAGGCTGGCATGGCCTGCCTCACCTCAGCATTTGCCACTGGGTGCTGTAGCCTGGCCCATCCCCAGTTCCAGCTCATGCTGGGTGTGGGGAGAGCTGTGCTATAGTCTACCCCAGCCCAGACAGCCCCCAGTCCCAGCCTTGTGTGAACTGGGTTATATTATGGCCCAATCTGGCCTGCCCTACACCTTGTCTTGGTTCTTGGATCTGCCAGTGAGTGCTATGGACTGGCCCAGTCTGGTCTACCCCCAGACCTGACCCACACATATATCAGTGGGTACTGTAACCTGGCCTGGTCTGGGCTGCTCCCAGCCTTGGTTCCTGCACTCACCTGCAGGAACGGTGTCGTGACAGAGGAGTTCCCCAAGATCCTCCATCAGGTTTCCTCCCAGTGGCAGGTCTTGTGCACGCTGATGACTCCTTGGCATGGCCTGGTTTACTCCACCTTCTGTCCTGGTAGGAAAAGTGGCCTTGCCCAACCGGCTCACACTCCTTCTGGTTCTTACTGTTGGGTGCTACAGCCCAGCCACACCTGGTCCATGCCCAGATACAGCTCTCATGTGGGGTAGAGACCTAACCCAGCCCATTCTACACCTACCCTCTTGGGCATCAGTGGGTGCAGTGTGTGTTGGAGTCTAGCCCAATCTGCACAGCCCAAATCTAGTCTATACCTCTTCTGAGGGACACTGTAGTCATGCCCAGCCCAGAACGTTGCCCCCATTCCAGCTCTTGTGCTCACCAGTGTGAACTAAACCCAGCTGAGGTGTCTCCTTAGCTCCCCAACCAGGCCTGTTCCTAGCCACAGATCTTGTGCATGACAGTGGTTGCTCTGATTCAGCTCGGCAGAGCCCATCTCCCATCTTGGCCTTTGCCATCAGATATGCAACAGATGGATATACGTTTAGTATAGTTACTTCTTACTGATTTGACCCCCTAATCATTAGGCACTGTCTTTCTCCATCTCTTTTAATAGTTTTCCTGTTAAAATCTGTTGTGACTGATGTAAGATTGGCTACACCTTATTCTTGCCATCTGTTAAAATAGAATGTCTTTTTTAAAAACATTATTTTATTTTTATTGGATTGGAAAGTCAGATGTACAGAGAGGAGAGAAAGAGAGGAAGATCTTCCATCCGATGATTCACTCACCAAGTGGCCAAAATGGCTGGAGGTGAGCCGATCCAAAGCCAGGAGCCCAGAGCCTCTTCCAGGTCTCATATGTGAGTACAGGGCCCCAAGGCTTTGGGCCATCCTAGACTGCTTTCCCAGACCACAAGCAGGGAGCTGGATGGGAGGCAGGTCTGCTGGGATTAGAACCGGAGCCCATATGGAATCCCAGTGCATGTAAGGCAAGGACTGTTCTGTGCTAGGCTATCGCACTGGGTCCTTCTGTGGGATATCTTTTTCCACCCTTTCACTTTCAGTTTGTGTGTATCTTTGTTGATAAGGTCTGTCTCTTGTTGGCAGCAAATAGATGAATCTTGTTTTTAATCCAGTCAGCCAGCCTATATATTTTTTTAAAAGAGATTTATTATTTTTATTGGAAAGGCAGATCGGATTTATAGAAAGAAGGAGAGATAGAGAGAAATATCTTCCATCTTCTGGTTCACTCTCCAGATGGCTAGACATGAACTGGCGCCCACATGGGATCCTGGCGGACACAGGGAGGGATTTAGCCATGGAGCCATTGTGTTGGGCCCGTTTAGAGTTATTACTGAAAGGTGAGGACTTGATACCACCATTTTAACATAAATATTCTCAATGTTGGGTTTGGATTTCCTTTGTGCTTTTACTAGGAAATTCTCTATCTTCGCCTTCCTTCATTATAGGAATTACCATTCTCTGTTTCACTGGGTAGCACATTCTTCAGCATTGTTCGCAGGGCTGGGTGGGTGGTAACAAATTCTTTCAATTTCTGTTTGTTTTGGAAGGTCTTTATTTCAACTTCAGGTATAAAGGAAAGCTTTGTTGTGCATAATATTCTGGATTGGCAATTTCTTTTAGCATCTTTTCATTTTCTCCGAGCTGGCAGGGCTTCTGATGAGATGTCAGGTCTAAGTCTGATGGGAGATCCTCTGGAGGTAACCTGTCTTTTCTCTCATGCACATTCTAGAATCTATTTTTTTTAAAAAATATTTTACTGTGGAAAACTTGACTACAATGTGTCATGGTGTAGATATATCTTCTGGTCCTGTCTAGAAGTTATTGTCTGTGCTTCCTGTACTTGGATCCCCTACTTCCTATTACGGAAGCTTCCCATTATTATCTCGCTAAGTAGGCTTTCTAGTCCACTCCCTCCTTCTACACCTTCAGGAACTCCTAACACACATATGTTAGATTCTTTGATAGTGTCTCAGAAGTCTTCTACACTATTTTTGTTTTTTTCTCATCTCTTCTTATATTCTGTCTGAATAATAATGTCTGCAATGTTTGTCTTTTAGCTCCAAGATTCTTTCTTCTGCTTTTCCAAGTCTGTTCACAAGGTTTTCCACTGAATTTGTTTATTTGGTATCTTGAACTCTTCATTTATCTCATGTATAGATTTTCTTTTTTAAAAAATTATTTTGACAATCTTTACATAGTTGATTAGGGCACAAAGGGTCAAAGGGCTACAGTAAAGTGTGTAAGACCATTGTTTCCACGTTATTATTATTGTTATTTTTTTTTCCCACCCAACCTCCTGCTCATCCCAGGGTCCCTGATGTGGGGCATGCTCTGAGGGTCCTGCTCAAGTGGTTTTGATAGTGCAACAGTTCTGAATTGCTGCCAATCTCACTCCTCCAAACATGACGAATGTCTCCAGAATCCATTGGCTAACATAGTCCACTTCAGAACCCCCCTTTGCCCAGATTCTCACTGCCAACACTTAGCTTGGCAGTTGATCCATTTGCTCTGTCCTCCGTCCTCTGCTGTGGTGCCAGGTGTCCTCTGCAGGTTCCTATGGTCTGCCATATCCTCCATGTGCACCTGGATGTGCTGTCTACTGCTCCGTCTAAGCCTCTGAGGAGGACCAGCTTTGACACATGCACTCTACGATCAGATCACGGAACCTGCAATTCTCTCCATGGTTGCAGTTCTGAGTCCAGCAATTCAGTTGGGGAATTCCCTCCTCCCAGCCCCCCAAAAAGAACTACATCTGAGGTGATCCCAGAGCCGATTCTTGTGTGTGCCTGGCAATACAGGGTCTGGCACAGTC